AGTACATGCTAAACAAGGAAGCACTCTAGCACTCTACCATTGAGCTGTACCTCTAATTCAAAATGAAATATTTAAAATAAAATAATTAGTGCTTGTGAACCTTTGAAAAACATTAAATGCTAATAATTTAAACTTTTTTTCTTGTGTTCTTAATCAAAGTTTTAACTTGACACTTCCCTCCTTTCTAGGCTTTGGAGTTTCAATGTTTCACCCCTTTGAAGCACTGTTGCTACAGCTTAATGCCTCTGACCCCTCCCTGGAGTACTTGAAGCTTTATAAACCTACTCTAATCCTATGATCCCTTTCTCAATAAAAAGTGACACTTGCACTTCTGAATTAGCAACCCACTAGCACTCACCAAATTTCTTGAATGTCTGCTTGGTAATTCTTACAACTATAAACTGACTGGTGGAGATTTAGGTTGATAATAGCTGTCCTTTTATTGCTTTCTGATCCCACTTAATTAAAAAAGTCTAATTTTCTATATAACAACCAAAATAGAATTAAGACTGCCTAAAGGTAAGAAGTTTAATACCTATTGCATAAGGCTGGGGGTTCCCAGTTCCATAATATTGTTGAAATGGAAAGTATTTTAATTCCTTATGGATAGTTAGAGTTACTGTTTGACCAAAGTTGATGACTACAGCTGATTCAGTTGAGTCACTGTTTCCTGAGAGAATGTGAACTGTCATCTATCTAATTTCTTATTCGAATTTGTTTGTGATCCCTGACATACCCATTTAGAATTGAAATAATAAGAATGTCTTTACTGTTTGCAATTATACACTAAATCAAAAATTAAAACTAGATTTTGGTCTTTTCTCTAGTCTGCAATAATGCTTTGATTTTCATTAAAATGGCGTTTAAAGTTCTATATGATTCTCCTCTGCCAACATGATGCTTTATATGAACTTACTTGAAGAAATGATGCCAGATCTCTATCGTATGATTGTGATTTATAAATAATTACTCTGAAATTAAGAAATTAACACTATGGGCCACAGTATCTTGATGTCCACAGGTTTCCACTATCCTAGACTGACTCTCTCTCTTTCTCCCTCTCCCTCTCCCTCTGTCTCTGTCTCTCTGTCTCTCTGTCTCTGTCTCTCTCTCTCTGTCTCTCTCTCTCTCTCTCTCTCTCTCTCTCTCTCTCT